GAAGAAAAGCGGCGCAGTGTTACGTGGGTAGCGTGTGTATGCGCGTTGAGGAGCAGGTTCATACATAATCTGGAGCGGTATGTGTGGGGACCCTTACGGCTGAATGTCCCAGACGGTACGGGTAGGTAAAACGCGAGAGGCGGATGATTGTCGGGGTTCATGACACTGGTTTGCTTGTCTCACTGTGATGGATTCACAAGCAACCTACCGAACCGCTGCGTGATGTAAATGTGCTCCGGCAGCAAAGACGGGATGTGGCTGGCTACAGAACGTGGTGATGACGACTCTTTTAATGGCAATGGCTCTGGTGGTGGAGTTATTAGTGTTGGTCATAGAGCAGTTTTCGGGTGTAGGATGTGGGTTGACTGTGGTGGTGCTGTGGCGAAACCCACAGTCATGTGTGCGTATATGTCCGAAAAGGCCTTTACAGTTTCTGAATGTCCTGGGGCACTGTAAGCAGGTGGAGCGTTCATGGTGGGTGTATGTCGGGCCACACACATTGGTTCGCTAGTCTCTGTGTGATGGATTCATAAGTGATCGACCACTCTGATGCGTGATAGGAGGTGCGATCGAAATGGGCGCAGGTTGGGGATAAGCCCATATTTCTGGCGGCATACACTAGTGGAAATACTTATCAAGACCGTGGGAGTGTCCTCATTGGTGTTGCCAGTGGTAGCCTAGTGGTGGTGTGTGTGCGAGGCTAGAGGCAGGTTGATCGTGTTGGCGTTTAATTGAGTCCACAGATGTCCAACGAGGCTTATCTGTGATTGAAACGTCCGCTAAGTGGGCACTTGTCGACCTTTTTGGTCGGTTGTGCTTGAGACTTGTGGTTCACCTCGACGTGTGGAACCCCTGAGGCTCGATCCCGCAACCTATTGGTTAGGAGTCGAACGCCCCTAACCATCGAGCTACGGACTCGTGGGTGTGACTAGCTGACGACAGCTAATAAGCCAGAAACGACCATTATAGTCTCCCTTGTTTTTGTTTCGATAATGTTATTCTGCCTATATCACGCGCCGCTGTGCGGCTGCTGGTAGGGCTCGAGAGAGGGCTCCAAGACACATCGGGACGAGGGAGTTCCGTAGTGCGATCGATGAGCCCTCTCCCACCACTGTATGTATCCGATCGAAACCCACAGGACAACGAGCCCATGGAGCAGTGGTTAGAGGTGTTGGACTTCTAACCAATAAGTCGCGTGATCGAGTCCCAGGTATACCACACGTCGGGGTTAGGAAAGACTGACTGACGACGGCCAATAAGCCAGAAATGACCATTCCAGTCTCCCTTGTCTTTGTCGGTAATGGTATTCTTTTCACCAAATCGTCCATTCTTGTTCTTCCTCGTCTGTGGCACGGATACTCCCTTGACAAGTTTGGGACCATCTCTGACCCAGATACTAAGAAAAAACCTTTTGGTCACAGGAAAAACTGCCGCTGTCAGAAAACTGATCAAGAAGGACGTCTCGATCACCACAATGGGCATAATGGCGGCCAGGTTGTCCTTTACTCAATGCTACCGGTGCGAAACTGAGACTGTAGGTCCAGAAGCATAAAGAACGAGAGGGCAAGAAGGTGACTTCTTCTTCTGGGTCGTTTGTAGGTAAAATGAGCCCAAAATGTCCTTCTGTTATGGAAGAAAGACTTTTGAGGGCATGACAGAGCACTTGCAGATACGGGCAGTTAACCAACTGGGCTTAAGGCCGTTCAGTGGAAAAACACACTGGAGAAGGTGCCTGGTTTCTTGCAGAGTGATTTCGGGGTTCCAGACCATAAGCACGAAGTTCGAGATAGGCATAGGATAGAGTGACAGAGCGCTTTTTTCATGAGAAATCCGCAACTGCGCTAATTCTAGAAACTCAGAGTGCTGAGGACGGTTAAAAGAGAGAGGATTTGTTTGGTGGATCTGAAGTGCTATTAGGGCTCACATGGAGTCTTGGCTACAGATGAAGTGCTACAGTATGACAGTTCGACCGTCGTTGCCGACGATAACCACCCTGTGTCCTCGGCACAGGGTGGGCACAGGGACGGTGACTTGCAATGATGGTAGGCTTGTGCGGCATCTGCCGAACTCTCTTCTCCTCTTGCACCTAGGCTCGCTGCTACGACAGAGTTAAGAAGACTGGGAGGGGACGGGAAAGGATGCAAGTTACTGGCGCAGTGTGAATCCGCACCTTGGCGTGTTACCACACATCCTGATCCACGCACGAATGACCATAATTTCATACAACAAGGAGGGATGGCGACTCAGATATCAAATGGGTGGGCCTATCCAAAAAGACACGTTAGGAAGAAGCTATTTTAGTCTGACTCTCAGTCCGCCAGCAGGCCACTCCACACAAACACGCACTTGCTGACTGCGAGGTACGGGTTGAATCGTCAGTTGGTAACCTCCCAAGACATGGCTTTTAGCGCACTTTAATAGTCTCAAGCCCGTCAGAGTGCTTATATTGAGAAAAATGCGCGGAGAGTCAACCTGATTCTCTCTTCCCTTACCAACGCATCTGTCGATTGTCCGAGCCGGTAAACCAACTGGTGTTGAAGTTGAGAGAGGTAGTTGACAGAGTTTAGAGCGACCTGTCTGAGCGTTCCACACGCGTGATCTGCTCTCCGGGATTTCACACAAAGGGGGTGGATTGCCCGGATCTTAAATGTAGCAGAGGAGCCACCTGTAGAAGGAATCTAAGGCCACATTTCACACTTAAGTGAGAGGTGCCTAATTTTTGCCTGCGATATCAGGGTTTGATGTGTTCACGTGTGGTGCATGTGTTAGTGGGGAAATATGTAATGATATGGTCTAGTCTACGGTGGGTTATCGTAAATTGTCATGAAGGCGAATGTGGTCGAGTGAGCTCATGCGATGGCTGAATTTGAGTAGGCAGTGCGGACAGTTGGGGCGGTGGCGACAACTACGATAGGATGAAAAGTACATGCAATCTTAAAGCCGACATCCTGAAATCTCTTCAGTTTCAACAGACCAAACACCAGGCAGTCGAAGGATGGTTACCACGAACCATGACAGCGTTCAAAAAATGCATGGTGGAAAAAGTTAAATGTTTTTTAACTTTGTCACACTTTTACTCGATTAGGTCTCGAGTGGGAGCCCGTTTCGGTATTAATATTGCTTCCAAAAACACAAGAAAAGTTATAATCTTGTAGACATAGGCTTGACCGTTTGCGTTTCTTTCACAAGTATAAGTAGTACGGGATACAGTAATAATTTGATTGTCCTGTCCTACTTAAGCTGCTACCGTCGGGCCTTTGGTCTGAAACTAACAGTTCCAGTAAGCGCAGCGCGTGATTCAGTCGTCTTCATCCTCAGATGCCACATTGCACAAAGGTCCAGGGAGCGAAAGCACCAGGACAGGGCTGTCATGTGAGGCCATACCTCAAGCTCAAATTTAAATCACCGAGAAAAATAAGTGAATTCTGTAGGTTTTGGGGCGTTTCGAGCCTAGGACAAATTGGCTCTTGTTGCATCCTGATACCCATATGAAAAAAAAGAAAGTCTTGAGGAAGAAGACACGATCGCCGGGACAAGAGCTTTATTAGCCTGATGTTTCGGATTCCTGCTCCAATCCATCATCAGAGACAAAGGCAAATAAGGGTGGTTTATGCATATGCGGTTGAGGTATTTATAGGATGCAGTAGCCATGCATTTTGGGTAAGGAGGCTCTATCAGCGTGTCGAAACGCACTGCGGTGAGCCAGAAGACAAGATTGCCAAACTACATTACCTCCGACGGGTCTTCAAAGCCAATGGCTACCCGCGCAACTTCGTCAACCGGTGCATACGCAAAAGGGACGAGAGGCCTAGCCGCACGGACACCAAAGTTTGGCGAGCGCTTCCATATGCCAGGAACGTTTCGGAAGCTGTCGGCCGCCTTCTCGCACCACTTGGGGTTGGATTTGCACACAGACCGGAGGCAACCATCAGGCGTCTGGTAATGAAACCGAAAGACCCACTGCCACGACTAGAAACGTCTGGAGTCGTTTATCGGATCTGGTGCAGTTGCGGACAAAGCAACTACGTCGGAGAAACCGGAAGACAACTCCGAACGCGAATGGCCGAACACGCTGCAGCGGTGCGGAGAAATGACGCTAGCTCTCAAGTTGCGGCTCATTCGACGGGTTCCGGCCACACGTTCAAATTTGACGAGGCCGAAATTCTCGCAAGATGTGACAACCGCGTGAGCCGCGAGCTGCTTGAGTCATGGTTTACTGGTCCCCAGTCTATTAACAACTGCAATGATCTTCCCATTCTATACTCCGCGCTGAGACTTCGTCTAGGCGGAGTAATTGGCCACGCGGGGAGCGCACAGGTGAACACTCTTCCCAACACCCGGGTCAGCGCGTCAGATGGTCGAGCAATCATCATACCAACATCCGACGCACGTGATGAAATTGCAGCAATTAACGACGTGAATGTCGGTCTTCTCGCCACGTGCAACGATCCCTGATGAAGGGGGGGGCCGTGAATATTCATAGGTATGCGGTAGCATAGCTACTGCATCCTATAAATATCGCAACCGCATATGCATGAACCACCCTTATCTGCTTTTGTCTCTGATGATGGATTGGAGCAGGAATCCGAAACGCCAGGCTAATAAAGCTCTTGTCCCGGCGATCGTGTCTTCTTCTTCAAGACGGCTTCCTGGGACTAGTCTCTTCGCTTCTATTGGCAAAGATGAAAGTGTCAGAAGGCTAGGGGGCAGGAAGATGCATTAAGCACGAGCGGTAACTTTTGGGTACCCCTGAATTTCGAAGAAGGTGCGGGGTGGACTTTCTGGCGCGAAATAATCCATAAAGCTTCTTACCTTGGCTAACCGGGCCTCGGTCCGGAATTTATTCTGTTGACGAGCTGTCTAGCCAGACCAAAACTGTCCTTCAACTTAACAGAAGCCATTCGAATGAAAAGAGTAGTTGAATTCAATGGAGACCTGCAGATATCCGGATTTTTTTACAATCACCGTCAGTTTATAATACGTGTAGAAAGTCTGTTAAGATGTTAAAAGAACGTTACTACTACTACTATTGCTACTACTACTACTACTACTACTACTACTACTACTACTACTACTACTACTACTACTACTACTACTACTACTACTACTACTATTGCTACTACTACTACTACTACTACTACTACTACTACTACTACTACTACTACTACTACTACTACTATTGCTACTGCTACTACTACTACTAGTGCTGCCACTCCTATTACTGTTATCATTATTATTATTATTACTACTACCTTTTTTATTACCAAGCGTCTTTTTCTTCCAGACTGGGCAACTTACTTGAGTCGAGTGCGCTGAAAACTAACTAGCCTTTCGTTTATCACCCTGACTGATCAACGCTAAATTGGACAAAGGCATAAAATGATTGCATGTGGCCTTAATAGTACGTGCAAAAGGCAGCATACCCTCTCTCACGCTGTACCACCGCTGTTTCGCCGACATAGAAAACTGCGCATTTCACACAGAAAAAGTTCGCACTGGCGGCAGCCAGGGGTAGTGGATAGGGGCAAAGGGTCACGGTGTTTTAGGCTGCTGCCTTGAGAACAAGCTCTTCTTTCATGAGCAGTTACGACACTTCATCGACGACACGAGGCGTTTGGAGCGGTTGAGGCATGACTGTGAGCGCTGTTCTATCAGGTTTCGGGACGCTGCCTAATTTCAGAAGTTGCATGAACTTAGCTCGTCAGAGTAATTGACCTTAGCGCCTGCGGCGGGGGCTTGGCCAGTGTTGGCCTGAAATTTCGGTCGTCCAGCACTGCGGTCTTATGAGTCACATGTGTGGAGATGTAAAGTCACCGCTGATGCCATCACCAAGGAGTCAACACAACAGCCAGCGAATTGTCGAGACGAATGGAACCAAAAAGCACGACTTGACATTAGTTCGCACGTTGCTTGCTTCATGGGAGATATGGGAATATTCAGGGCCTGACCCCGCGTAGTTACCCGCACATACATGGAGCGATTTTTAGTCATCAGAGGGGACGCTATACAGAGTAAAAATGATTCAGACACTAAATGGGTCACTGTGCATCCTATCAGACAGTATGCACTTCTAACCTTTTTCGGCCAAACACACTTAGTCTGCGCTGTTTTTGGAAATAGAGCGTTCTGAGGTCTGCTGAAAATATTTGACTTAAGAACGTATGCTCATCCGCTTGACCGCTTACAAATTGGTTTCCCTGCTGATCGGTTTGTATGCCGCCGAAATCGGTGCCCAGGTCTCCCCAGATTGTTGGCTCTCAACCACTGGGTCGCTGCCGAAATTCAAGTGCGAAAGACTTCTTATGGGTCACGAAATCAAGAAATCCTCGACCGCGATCACTGGGGTACGGTACCACTAAACAGTAAGGGCCTAAATTTACAGAAATGACTTCTGTACAGCCATTCTACATGTTTTAAAAATGCGTGCTTCGTTAATTATGCAGAAGAGTAAGTCATGTGCTCTGAGCATGTGACATCAGAGTACACACCGAATGCATGTTTAAATTACGCATTGTAAGCGTTTTATTAATTTTTAAATAGACTTTCATTCCTAGCCGATATTCATACAAGCTGGGTAGCCTGACAAATGCTTTCCGCATGCTTACTCCCAAGCGGAAATCTAGACTATGGGCTCTTGTTAAACCAACATTTTACCTTTTTGACACACATCTAAGAAAATATCATCAAGAACCGTGGTAATTCCAATCTACTTTTTTTCTTTTCATGCCTAATTCACGATTAACAAAATTCGAAAACCTGCTTCTCACATTTAACCTCCACGTTCCTACCATACCCTCTCAGGATCAGACGATTTATATATGCGCATATGCTCTCTCATGTAATATTTTCGGTCTTACTAAAGGAGAACTTTTGGCAAGGGTATGGTTTATGGCCGCGTTTACTTATTCCGGAGAGCAATTGTGTTGAGCAAGAGAGCAGAACATTTAAGAACTTTGTGTTATGACAAACTCTGATCCCCATATTGGTACCAATTAAAAGAACACCCTATTTTTACTATTGAATGATAAAAGTAGATGAATTTAATACCCCTTTGAAGACATTGTCGAAAAGATAGTATATTATTGTATTTTTACTTCAATGACTACCTTAAAGCAACATGACCACCCGCACGCAACAGCCACCGCGAGGTCCTTTTATTTTTTTCTCTGGTGCGTACTACTAAATATCACCAGTTATTTTCTTTTAACATAATCGCCCCCCCAGGGGAAGTAAAACCGGCCATAAACCATACCCTTGCCGAACATTTTCATCGTAGGACGTCCTCTTCACCTGGTTTCTTCTGTTGTTTGTCTCACTTATGCCCTTTTAGTCGGCGACCTCTTGCGATGGTCAGACCAGTTACCCCGCCCGTCGCGGCTTCCGCCGTATCTTGTACCGTACATCAATGTATCAATGGTTATTTACACACTGAGCTGTTACCATGGGATCGCCTTACCCTAAAGTGTACTTCTATTTGCCTGTCGGCAGTTAATGAATATTACGCGGTTATTCGCTGTGGCTGATAGACTTCGGCCCAAATATTCATGTATAAAAACTTAGGTCGGAGCCTATAGACCTTAAATATACTGATCTGCTCCAAATTCACAGTAAATTTCTAGGGAAAAAAACTACAATTTCTAAATGTGAAAAGTCAAGTTGGCAAACAAGTGTTTTCGGCAATTCTTCGTCAGGTCAATACAGTTACATAAAGGAATGAAAATGTACAAAATTAACAGTGTTTATAGATGTTTCAAGGACTACTAAGTAATCGACACTCGTATTCCCCACGCCTCCCGCAAGACGAGGTCGGCGGGTTTTGGTCCTTAGAGCTAGGGGGGGGGGAGTAAGAGAGTTTTAGAGTGATGGTCTTGGATTGAATACACGCAGTACCCATCACTGTAATTAAGGATCTGAGACAGCATGTCGTCATCACTTGAGGTTGGCGTTGGCTACGGCAGAGAGAGCGCTTGTGTCAGCGTTTTCTGACAGTATAACATCGGATTCGATAGCCGTATAGCCACTGCCTCGGCCGTTGCCAGTATCCGTTGGCGTAGGCCTTTAGAGAAGCTTGTTGGTGTCCGATAGACAACATGAAATGCTTCCTTGGCATCGACTCGGTGATCCGTATCGATTAAATGTGCGAGAATAGAACTCGAAATCGATCGGGCCTCACCTCTAAATTGAAGTATCTACGAGAAAGCAGACAGGGAATGGTGGGGGGACCCACTGATGAGCCAAAACCCTCGCAGCTGTGTCATGCAGCGGCAGAATATCGGCGAAATACGCGTGTATGGGCTTTTGGCTAGTATCTATGCTGTTAGTATGGAATCACCTTACCCTAAAAGCTCCTGCAGATTTCTAACCCCGTAATGGAACCAGAAACTAGAAGCTGCGACTGGACCTGTTGCCACAACAATCGCCTCGTCCCACGTTAGCATTGCTTTCTTTTTGTCGAAATTTGGAGATTGCAGAAGACTTTTGGGTTAGACACAGGAATAAGTACTTCCCTGCCACACTACAGGCGGTCCTGCGCTGATTTCCAGGAAGTACCTATTTCTGTGTTCTAGGTGTGATCCGAACTCTAGCTCTAACACTCCTAGTCTCATTGAAACTAAACGCCCATTCTCCCGCTCTATCAACTTTTGCTGATAATTAAGACAAGCCTACCCTCTCTCCCTCTGGGAAGTAGAAAGATAGTCCTTGCTAAACAGGATATCTTATTAGCTCCTCGTCGCTTCTAACAGAAGGACAATAATATGAGGCACTTCAAGCCTCCTGAGTAAGATCAGTGTTCAGAAGACGAAGATGCGATCACTGGAACAAGAAATTTATTGGCCTGACGTTTCGGATTCTCGCTCAAATCCATCATCAGAGACATTCGCAGACAAATGTCAGTGTTTTATATCTGTTACTAACCTTGTAATTGTACGCCGCACTTCCCATAGATTTTTTCTCTCGCCTTAGGGCCGCTGCCTCCACGCCTGTTGTCCGGAGGTGCAGCAGTGTTACCAAACAGGACATCATCGAGAGTTACAATAGGACTTTTTAACAGTGTGTTTTACTCACACAATATATGTACATCCGACAGTTCGACCGCCGTGGCTGATAATGCTCACAATGTCTCCCACAGCACCAAGGACGGAGACTCGCGCGTGAGTTAGCTTATTGTGATAGTAGACCTGTACAGCGTCGACCGCACTCTCTCCTCCTTCCCTACTTGCTGTCATGACGGAGTCAAGAAAATCGGAGACAGAAGAGGGCGCAGGTGGCTGGCACGGCGAAACGCGCACTTAGACACACCACCACACATCCTTTTCCGCAACATATAATGGACAGGATTTTATACAGCAAGAAAACGGATATAAAGTAGATGTGCTAACTCGTGAAATGTTAACAGAAATTCTGAAGTGCGTTTTCGACTCCAAAAGATTACCTAAGTAGGGTTACACCATTAATAACCGTGCAGCATAATCCAATGACAGTTCAGTTACTGCAGGATGCCGGCTTTCGAACGAACTTCTTTTCGGCCGCCTGTAAAAATTAGACTCGGTATAAAGTGACTACTAAAGTAGCATAAAATTTTTGAATTAATTTCCGGTACCCTTATACATTCAAATATATTTCATGGAAAACATGCACTCTTGTACTCACTTGGTGGAAAGTTATGCCTTTTTCAAATTTTATGCTTGAAGGAAGAGTATAATGCGGTCTTCAAAAACTTTTCAATTCCCGAATAATTTGGAAAACGACATGTCGTTACATTTGCGTTCAGGGTTTCCAACCAACGAGCTTTATATTCCCTGTGTACGGAAATTCGTACTGTTCTTTACGATATTAAGAGGAGACCGCATAGGAGTTTATAAAATTCATCTATGGATTTGAGTATATTGTAACCTTTACAGGCAACATTAGTAAATGCAGAGACGCGATGTGTTCTGAACGGGCATTTCACGGTCTTAAAAAATCTCACAAGTGAAACTTTTTTTAAACAAGCATAAGATTAGGAGAAGACGTAATTTTCTACCAAGTGAGTAAAAGAATGCGTGTTTTTTATAAAATGTATTTGAACAAGGAAATCTCATACCACTTTATTAGTCATTTTCTACCGAGTCTACTTTTTACAGGCGGCCGAACAGAAGTTCGTTCAAAAGACGGCGTCCTGAAGTAACTGAATTGTCATTGGACTATGCTGCACGGTTATTAA